CTGAATAAATATTATTATCTAATTGATTTTAGAGGTCTTCGATATTAAAAAATAATTAATGAATATAAAAAAATTATTTAAAATATGTTTTTTATAATTTATATATGTGGCCAATTATTATGACTCAAATAAATATAATTTTCTCTTATAAAATATTTAGGTTAATTTTTTCTTGGCGGACAAATATTCTATTTTAAAAGAATGTTTTATATTAAATTAAATACAGTGAAATACTTTTTTTTTTGGGGGAATCAGTGAAATACTTCGAATAATAGCATTTATTAGGAATTATAGACATTCCGCGACCCCGCGTCTAATGAGGGGTATTATCGTCTTTTCACAAGCCTTAAAATCGCCGGCCCATTTGATAGGATAAAAAAGCCCGGCCGGGCCTCATTACTCCAAGCTCCCCTAGCTGTCTTGCCTGTATTTCGATCTCTTTCAGGCTGTCGCCGGCGAGCAGTCACCGTTTTCGGTGGCTGGGTTCCGAAAAGTCTGGTAAGACCTTACCGAAATGCTAGGTGTCTACCTTTTGAAGCTGTAAGCTTTGGATCAGAATTATCTAGGGCAAAATGGTGACTGGGATGATTCGCTGGCCATGGCCGACGGTTATGTTGAGGAAGTTTGAGGTGAGGCTGTTGGTGAGGGGGATCAAGGGTCTAGCGCTGGCTTTACCGGCGGAGGAGTCACCGGAGGGTGCGGGCATGATGATTGCGGAGGTGAGGTGGAAGGGGCCGAAGACGACGGCGCTGAGATCACTGAGGAGGAACGCGAAGAGAAACTGTACCAAGGTGGAGGCGGTGAAGGGGGATCAAGGTGAGGTGGAGTGGAACGAGGAGTTTGGGAGCGTGGTTGGGATGACGGCTCATAAGGAGAACGTTTTTAACCCCTGGGAGATTGAGATTCTCGTCTTCTATGTGAGTTTGCATCCCCATGCCCTTTTCATCCATTTTTAATCGAAGCCTGTTTTGCTGTTCTGGTTCTGGTTTTCATCCTTATTTCTACTCTTTGTGTGAGTTTTGTAGTTCGATTTATTTGCATGAGTTGTTTTTTTTTTTTCGGGTTAATCATGGTGTTTGATTTCTCCGGTATACCTTTTTCCGTTTTAATAAAAACTATTTCTAGTTTATGAGCTCTTTTGTAGAAAAATATTTTTGTTTTCTATGGTACGGCCGAGGATTAAGCGTGGTCTACTCTGTTCCCTTTGATTGGGGTAATTCAAGGGGAAGCTATGGTTTCCTTGAATTCTTTTCAACTTTCATTTTATGTAATCTTTTGTGTAAGCTTGAGATATCAGGAAATAGCGAATTTTATCTTGAATCGCTTCGGTTTTCACCAGAGTGGAATCTTGATCTTTGTCTGCTCTTTCTATCTTGTGCTTTAGGCACTTTTGAGCTCTCAGCTTTGTTTTTTTATAACTTTTTTTAAGTTATGAATTTTTTCTTATCTTTCACCCTCTAATCAAAATTTCATATTTATTATTTAAAATTATGTTTGTAATATAGGTGAAGAAAATTTTCTGCTCTTTTATGATTAGGAATTGACTTGCTTAGCGTTTAAATCACCACTTACTCACACCACAAATAGGATTTAATTCTGGTGGGAGATAGTAAATCTTGGAGCCGTTAAAACCTGAAAATTGATTAAATCTTATTAAATCTGAAGATATTGTTTGGCAGGTCTTTTCAAGATTTAGGTTTTAAAGGAAGGAGAAGAAGAAGCATATTGAGTGGAAATGTATATTTTTTTAATTATACTTCCTCTTTAATTTAATAAATCAAGAATTTAGGCTAAGCTGGGAGAAAACAAGATTTATGAAGGTGTTAGGATTTCGGTTGCTCAAAAAACTGTTTTGCAAGATCCTGATTGAATCTTGAGTCCAAAAAAACCCTATAGTGTTCAATTGCATGAAGAATTCTCTATTATTTGATTAATCTGCCTAATTGCCTGCCGCTTGAACAGCCAAAGATGGAAACTTTTTTTTTTACCAAAGATGGAAACTTGATGGACTTTTTTTATTTGTTTAGGGTTTAAAGCATGTGTCCAAGAACAAGGCATCTATGATTGGAACGGCTTCTTTGAATCTTGCTGAATATGCAACTACCTCTGGAGAAGAGCTTGAGCTCAATCTTCCCTTATTGAGTACAAGTTTTGATGCTGATTCTCGACCGGCGCTTCATGTATGTTTTAATTTTTTTTTCTTTCATGTCCATGCACCTTTTTTATTTTCTTGAAACTTTAATGCACTTTACTAACACACTTCGTGTAAAATCGAACATTTCACAAACTCATTTCTTAGATGTATTAATTTTTCTTTATTATATTGCAAGTTTCATAGCCATATCAAATTATCCTGTTTATTTTTTACATTGAATGCTGCATTTAGTTACTTATTCACCCAATTACTGTGCTCTTTGTAATTATTTTTATTTCCTATATGTCCCTATAAAATTGACATGGCAAGCCATTTTTATGTACCAGTTGACTCTCAATTTGCTGTTGAGAGCCTGCCCAGAATCACCAGAGACTGCCCAGAGGTCGGTGATACCGGCTTCCTCTTCTCCTCCCTCTGGAGGTACTCCTTCCGAAAAAGATGAGCTTTCTGCACTGAAAGCTGGATTGAGAAAAGTAAAGATACTTACAGAATTTGTCTCAGCTAGGAAATCAAAAAAGACTTACCGCGAGGATGAAGGTAGTGATGACAGGTGCTCTGCTGGGACTGAAGATGTTGATTGCATCTATCCGTTGGATACGGATTCCTTGGATGACAATCCTGATGAAGAACTTGAAGATGGAAAAGAGGACACTAGCATTCGGAAGTCTTTCAGTTACGGGACATTGGCAAATGCAAACTCTGTTGAAGGTGTGTTTTTCTCTGACATTGGAAAGCATGAAGATTTGGTTTACTACAGTCACCGGCGATCTGATGTTGGCTGTTCCCGTGGAGAGGAGACCACATCCTCTGTTCATGAGCAATCTGTTTTGCATAGTAGAAGAAGCATCCTTCCCTGGAAAAAGAGGAAATATAATTTTAGATCTCCTAAGGCCAAAGGAGAGCCTTTGCTGAAGAAGGCTTATGGAGATGAGGGTGGAGATGACATCGATTATGACCGGCGTCAGCTGTCTTCATCTGATGAATCTCTCTCTCAATTGGTATGCACTTTCTCCTGTGACTCTTTTTATGATAATTTTTTCTTGGTTTTTCTCTCTCTCTTTTTATTGAGAAGATTTCAAGTCCTTACCAATCAACTTATGTAAAATTCTTTAGTTCACATTAGCCGTTTTAGCTTTAAATCTATCTATATTCAGTTTTGAATCTATCATAGTCAAATGCATTTTTGCTTCCCAAAGAAATCTCATTCTTTAAATAAAATGTTTTTTTTTTTTTTTCTCAGGGGCACAAGGCTGATGATGATTTGTCAGCTCCAAATTCATCAGTGTCAGATTTTGGTGATGATAATTTTGCTATAGGAACTTGGGAGTCAAAAGAGGTTATAAGTCGAGATGGACTTATGAGGCTCTCTGTTGAGGTATTCTTTGCATCTATTGATCAGAGGAGTGAGCGAGCAGCTGGTCAGAGTGCCTGTACAGCTCTTGTTGCTGTCATTGCTGAGTGGTTCAAATTAAACCAGGATATGATGCCCATCAAATCCCAGTTCGATTGCTTAATCCGAGATGGCTCGTTGGAGTGGAGGAACTTATGCGGGAACCAGACCTACATTGACCAGTTCCCTGACAAGCATTTTGACCTTGAGACAGTTCTGGAAGCAAAGATCAGGCGTCTCTCTGTTGTTCCTGGAAAATCCTACATTGGATTCTTCCATCCGGAAGGATTTCAAGATATCAGTGGCTTTGACTTTCTGCAAGGAGCTATGTCCTTTGATAGCATATGGGAGGAGATAGCTAGTTCTGAGTCAGATTGCCTGTATATTGTGAGCTGGAATGATCACTTCTTTGTTCTTAAGGTCGAGCGAGATGCTTATTACATCATAGACACACTTGGTGAGAGACTCTACGAGGGCTGCGACCAGGCTTACATACTGAAGTTTGATCGAAGCACAACAATTCATAGGGCTCTGAATCAAAAGGAGAATAAAACCAATTCCAAGGATGGTCTCAGTGGAGAAGAAGAAAACAAGTTTACCATTGCTGCCAAAGAAGAATTAGTTTGCAGGGGTAAGGAATCCTGCAAGGAATACATAAAGAGTTTCCTTGCTGCAATTCCTATCAGGGAGCTCCAGGCTGATATGAAGAAGGGACTTGTATCCTCTACTCCTCTTCACCATCGCCTCCAGATAGAGTTCCACTACACTGAGGTGGCGAATGATACAGAAAACTTCGCGGCGTTCCCGACCCTACCGTTTTGGGAGTCAAAGAGTCAGATTTCTTGGCCTCAAGGGCCATTATTAGTGACTGGACCAACTCTAACATCAGCAGCTTTGGTAGTTGTATAGAGCCTTATTGGAACTATTAATAGGCTAAAAACTCTTAGCTTGGCGTTACAGATTTTGTTTGATAAGGTCTTTACGTGAGACTGGATGTGCAAAAGCTACAGAGCAGAGTTCATCCACTGTGTTTCGGCTAGCTGACGCAAACTGAGCCACTTTGTTTTATGGTGTTCGTCTCTCTTGCAGATCTGCTATTGTAAAGAAAGGTACTTTAATCTTTAGTTGTCCTGTTGTGTGTTGTGTGTTGTACTAATTGATGCTATGTTAACATCCTTAGGAGTAAGAAAGCGGAACCTTTGGGTTTGAGCAATAAATTTAAATTAATTTGTTAGAATTCCTTTTATCTTATAAACTTTGTGTGTGAGGAGTTCAAATTCCTTTTAAAAAATGTATGGCTGACCTGTAGGTGGGGCTAAGTATTATTTGAGAATCTCTATTATGCTGAAGAGGGATGCCACATTTGTGTTTATTAATTTAAACTAGTTTCAATAATGACTAGCTAAGTTGTCTGTACTGGTAAGCTGTAGCACACCTTCACCTACTCTTTCCTTATATTGATTTTGTTTGCAGCACCCGTAGATAAATGAGTTTGATAGAGCAAAATCTTTGTTTTTGGTATTAGATAACGTGAATAAAAGGATTGCTTGTCTATCTATAGAAATGGTTAAGTATAAGGCTCGCACGCTCCTCAACTTGACCAAGCTATAAATAAGTAATAATTGGATTATCAGTGGCTGAAGCAAACAATTATGCAAATATTATATTTGAACAATATGTGTTGAATAAAAATTGAAAGCAAAGGACAATCATAGATTCCATCACAATATTGTGTAGTTGTGAGGAAGCAAGATGAGAGCAGATACCTACTTATGCTTAGGTTGGTTGGTGGGCGAGTGCGGTTGGGAGCTCCCCAACCCGTGCTCGATTCCCTCGAGTGGCAGCGCCCCTTAGGTGGGGGCCCATTAAGCGCGGGCCAGGTGGTGATCGGGAGTGGGTACCATTTCTAGGTCAGCCGAGGTACTAGTGACATCACCAAGCGCCTCACAAGCTGAGGTGGCAGCGGGTCAATACCCGCTTTCCCCAAAACAACAACAACAATAACATCAAGCCTTTGTCCCACTATGTGGGGTCGGCTACATGAATCCTTTTTCGCCATTGTGCTTGTTAAAAGTCAAATTCTCATTGCATTTTAATAAAGAAATATCATTTCTAATATTTTCTATCAACAAAAAAAAAAAAAGTTGAGAGCAGATTGGTTTTGCATATCAAAATAATGTAAGGAAAATTCCATAGCCAGCCCATTCCAGCTTTTGCTTTCCAAATGAATGGCGCACTTGTCATTGTCATATATGTTTTGAAGGAACAACGAACGTTTTTAAATAGAATTTTATTTCTGTCAAGCCAAATGTAAAAGATAACGGTGTAGTTGTAAGAAGAAAGAACATTTTAGAATTGTTATTACAATAACAGTAAAAAAACTTGAAGAAAAGAGTATTCCAAGTGAAAGAAAGATCCATTTGAAATAATGGATCTTAAATTGGCCACAAAGCTTGAGCACTTAAAAAATATATGAGTATGATTTTTCAAATGGTTGTAGTAGATATTGTAATTATCAAATTGTCCTCTGTATTGAGACTTTGGTGCATCATTTTTCTAGAAAAAGAAGCAAATTTAATGTCTTAGCTTTTAAACCAATTAACATTCAGCTTGCAATCATATAAGGCAGAATAAAGCTTTTTAAGCTATGAAATGGTCCTTACCAGATCAAGATAAGGTGAGCCTTTGAGAGCCAATAGAAACTGTTTAAATAACATTTGCGCAGTGCCGCAGTTTAGATGACTGAAGAAAGTTTGTAACTGAAAGAGTCTACAGGCCATTTAATGTGAGATAACTTACCTTAGCATTTATTTGGCTGCCAAAAGCAGGTCATAATGGCTTGGTTGCCCACTATGTCCTTAACAGATTTACCATGGATTCGACTATTCAAGGAACCCAAAAAAGGGAAAGGTAAAGGTCTCAATATTTGATACGACCTTAAATTGAAAATTTTGTATTCGGATCAACTCATTTGACATACGGGTCAGATTTGGGTTCGACAAGTCGACCCGTTTCAAAGTCGGGTCGGATTTATGTCGACCAAAAAACCTGAACATGATCGAGTTGACCTGTTTAAACCGGCCTACTGCTGTACGTGGTACACCTATAATGTGGGTCCGTGACTCCACAAGATCTTCTTCTCTGCCATTCGTCGTCGGCGCCCCACTCGCCCACCTCTCATCCCAAGGCCGCCTCCTACAACACCAAACCTGTCGGCCTCCGCCTCTTCCACAAGTTCATATCCTATCTGCGGATCCGCTGTCGCCTCCCGCCGAGAACAAAAACAAGTCAAACTACTTAGCCGAGCAGCTTGCACCCGCAGCAGGCCCAGGCCCAGCCTTCGGCGGTCCGGCCACGCCGCACCTGTGGCAGCGAATAATAAGATGATTTGCTTTGCCTAAGATATGGAGGTCGTCTTATAATAGTATCAAATCTGCTCTGAAGTAATTCTTGTGGATGATAATAGGACATAATGTCAATCACAAAATTTAAAAAGCCAAAGGAGGTTGAAGACAACATTCCTTAAGGCCATTAGAGCCTTAAAATACCCTTCTTTTGAGGCTTTGATCTTACAATTAATCATAACAAAGAAGGGGGTGCTAACAATGCAAGCTTTAATCCATTACACAAACTTTCGAGGAATGCCTTTTTGAATCGGTTGCTCCAAAAGATTCTGAAAGTTGACACAATCAAAGTCTTTGTAAGGATCCAACTTGACGCAAAAAACTTGGCAGAAGATGAAGGTTTGAATTTTCCAAGTAATTTATTAGAAATAGCAATGGTATGATACCTCTCCCTAGAATTAGGGGTGTCAATATTTGACACGATCCGAAAATCTGACTCGAATCCGTCCCAAAATTTTCGGATTAGGATCAACTTGTTTTGCAAATAGGGCATGTTCACGTTCACATATTTGACCCGTTTGAAAAAGCGGGTCGGGTTCGGGTTGACCTGGAAACTTGAACTCAACCAGGGTTAACCCGTTTGGAAAAAACGCACGTAAGTCCTGCCCCGTCCCATCTCTTCACGTGAAGTCTCGTCGCTGTCACTGACGGTCGTGCCGCTGCTCTCGTCGCGTGAAGTCTCGTCGTTGCCGCTGTAGGCTGTGTTGCCGCTCTCGCCTCGTTGTCTACCCGTGGCACCCACGCGGGTCTTATCTGGGTTGGATTTGCTGATCCGTTTGCAAAAAAGGGGTCAGATTCGGGTTGGGTCAGCAGTGTCGGGTCAGTTTCGAGTTCGACCCGAATCCAACCGGTTACCCAATTTTGACAGCCCTACCTAGAATGAAGGCTGACTGATAATTTTGTAAAGAATGTTTGCAAAATAAAATGGGTCTGTAGTCATCTAGGAATTCAGGAATCAGGAGATAGCAGTGTTCAACCCGGCCACGTAGTTAGCTAGGTATTTCTTATGGAAACTTGGGAGATTTGTAAATTCTCATAAAGGATTCGGTACATTGACTGTCAAAATTATTCTGATTTAAAAAAAAAAAAAAGAGAATTTGCATACATTCCAAATAATTTTTGTATGTATTTATATATTTAATACTTAAATTTTATAATATTTTAGTATTTCAATCATATCAAAACATATACATGAAAATATGTATTTCTTTTGTTATTAATATTAGTGATATTTTTTATATGATTTCAAAATTGAAGTCTTCATTAGTTGAAAATATTTCTGGCCATTGCCATCACTCTGAACCACAATAAAAAGCTTTTTACTGATTATTTTGAGTTTATGTGGGAACATTTCATGAACTTTGTTGATGTCTAAAGTTGTTTTTATGGACTAAGGGAGTGAAAATTAAGGTTTTGTTTGGGATGGTTTTTTACTGTTTCTTAAAGCAGCATTTTAGTACAAAATTTTAAATTTTTATACTGAAAAGCAGCTTTAAAAAGCAATAAGAAAGTCATCACAAATGAAAGCCTAACTTAAATGGGAAGCTTTGCCATTGTTCTATCACCCTTCCAACTATGATGTAATAATCCCTACTAGAGGAAAGCCCATAATAAAATTCATAGTAATGCAACGGCTGTAATAATCCACTAGATTTCTAATGCTCAGTTTTTACCATCTGATATGATTCACACTTAGAAACAAACTTTCACTTCTCGTTTTAGTCCTGACCACCAAAATATACACTTCAGCTCATGATACATTTTATTACTGTTTGGATGAATAGTATGTCCTGAATAGTGAGTATTAACCTCATTTTTGTATGAGTTCGATTTCCCCGAGCTCACTCCTTAGTGCCTAGGTTTCCTTAGCCTAGCATGGACATAACCTATAGGATTTTCATTAGGTGGATACCTAATGTAATGACATCACACTGATTCGGTCCCATAATTCGACTCAAATCAAAACCTTGCTGACCCTTTAATTTGGATTGTGCCGACCTCAAAATCGATCGAAACAAATTTAATTCCGAAAAAGCTAGTGTAATCGAATCTTGTCAACTTGATTTGATTCGACTCACCCAATTCTAAATCGACATCTTCGATCGATGCTGGTCAAATTGTCGCAGAGTAATTTGAACTAAATTTATGTTAAATAGAACAAATCGACATAGTTCGAGCCCGATCTATTAATTCAATAAAATTAACATCGATCAAAGCTCGTCAAGTCAAATCGACATGATATCGAGTTAAATTGATTCGACTCGAGTTCAAATTAAACGACGACAGCTTAGATCGACGCCATCTAACTCGTCTCGAATTAGTTTGAATCAAATTGGTGTCGATTGGAATAAATTAACCCAATCTAAACCAAAATGACTTAAATTAAATCAAATTCGACATCAATATAACTTGATTTGGTCAAATCACGTTAACTAAATCGAAAGTCGGCCCAATTGAAATTAAATCAGTCAAGAAGAACCAGCGGCAGGGATGGAGGAGGCAGTTCGTGCGGTTCTTGGCCGAAAGTGAGAGAGGGACGGGCAGGACGAGCGAGAGAGACGAACTCTTGTGGTTTGCCGAGGGAGATGAGCAGCAAATTTTGTTAAACGCCCACTGCATTCAACTCTATTTGGAGAATCTTTGTTGTTTCACAAGAGGCAAAATGAATCAAGCATGAATTTGTTGCTTTTGCTTCAGTTCAAAATTATGGAGGCTAAAGATGATATAAAAGGATCAATTGCAGTCAAATTCTCTGAGAGGTATATTTCTTGTCATTTAAAATTTAGTTAATTCATGATAAATTTGAAAATGAAATGCTAAAATATTCATTGAAATTTATTTGTTTGAGATTAATCAAATGTTGAAATTGTTCTTCACTGATATATCATTAAAATATTATCTTGATTGGGTACGGATCTTGAGGCAAAATCAAGTTGGAAACTTCT